CATCATGAATTCTGTTTATCACATGAATTGATCTGGTTGTATCACATTATTGTTGATCTAAGGGAGAAAATCTATTCTTACCCTTCTCATTATAATCTATATTTTCACCGGAACCCAACCATATATATATATATATGTGTGTGTGTGTGTGTGTGTGTGTGTGTGTGTGTGTGTGTGCGTAGAGGTTGGTTCAAATACTAACCAAAACTATTGTGCAAACTATGCTAACCAACATCAATCAATCATGTTCCATTTTTTAGTTAGGTTCAAATGTAACTTACATATTAATTGTAAGGGTATTTAGGTAATTTATCATTCTTATGTAACTCTCAAAAATTTTAATTGGGAGTTACAAATCTTAAATTATCACTAATTGATCTTCATGTAATAATGACATGAAGTTTCACATGTGTTCATCTTACTGAATTTTACATTTATTTTTCCTATAATGGTTTTGATATTGTAAATTTGAAAAAAGTACCTTTTGTAAAGATTTCGTTATAGTCCGAGTAATATGGATAATCATAGAGTAAAACGGATCGACAATGAGAATGAAAAAGCTAAAAGCGTCTACGAATACATTCGGAATTCGAATTCCAAAAGTGGAGAAAATGATCAATAAGTGTCCCAATATGAACATATGATAGCTATGAACACGCTAATGTGAACACGCCTACATTAAAGATTTGAGTTCGGGATGACAAACAATATACATTCTTCACTAAGTTTTGAATTTCAGTAAATCCACATCCTTGTTGCTCTTTTGAATTATCTACTTTGTGTAATAATAGTTTTAGTTTTGAAGACTAACTACATAGGGGTTGTTCATTATGTTCATTAAAGATTTGACTTCGGGATGRCAAACAATATACATTCTTCACTAAGTTTTCAATTTCAGTAAATTCACATCCTTGTTGCTCTTTTKAATTATCTACTTTGTGTAATAATAGTTTTAGTTTTGTTACTGTTTTATGTCATATAGCACAAATCATATCATGCTTATATAGGGGTTGTTCATTATGTTCACTGTGCTATATTACTTGATCACACACATAGCGATTACATTTTTCATACTAGGATGCATTAAGACATTTGTGCACAGACACACATATATTAACATATATCAAATCAGCACAAATAACACAGACGTAGACGTTGGGATTCGTTACTGTTTTATGTCATATTGCTGATGTTCATTAGGTTCACAAATCCAAACTTGTATGTATTTGTGAAGTGTTGTGTGTGTGTGATGTTCATTAGGTTCACAAATCCAAACTTGTATGCATTTCACCAAAATCATCCATCGTTTTGATGAATATTATGAACCAAATTTTTCGCTATTGATATACATTATTGATCGTATAGATTGGCAGTTTTGTAGTTGATTGGAGGTTACGAAATCGTCTGAATAATATAGGTTCACGATGTGATGCGATTTTTTTACAAAATAACCCATTGAACAGTTGTTCATAGACATCTCATTTAATACATTAATTAAATGATTATTTTTGTAATCTCATTTAATAAGGACCGTTTGATGAGAAAATGAACGATCAAGATAGGTTAGCATAGTTTGCACAATAGTTTGGGTTAGTATTTGAACCAGCCCCTATATATGTATGTATGTATGTATGTATATATATATAGTTGGGTTCACGTGAGATCCAAGGTTTTCGTGAGACCCGTAAGACCAATTTATGTTCATCGATCAACTTTATAAGCTAATGACCTAATGGTCTAAAGTTGCATGGTGGCAATTTTGTGATTATCAGATTGTAGATCTAATCCAATGGTTGAGAATTGGTCTTACGGGTTTCACGAAAAACCTTTGGTCTCACATGATCCCAAGTCTATATAGACTTGGGATCATGTAAGACCAAAGGTTTTTCATGAGACCCGTAAGACCAATTTTCAACTGTTGGATTAGATCTACAATCGTCAGATCTGAACATTCACAACCACCACGAGAGTTCTCAATAATCACAAAATTGTCATCGTGCAACTTTAGACCATTAGATCATTAACTTATAAAGTTGATCAATGAACGTAAATTGGTTTTACGGGTCTCACGAAAAACCATTGGTCTCACGTGAACCCAACCCAACCCTATATATATATATATATAGAGAGAGAGAGAGAGAGAGAGAGAGAGAGAGAGAGAGTTTGTTTCAAATACAACTCATCGCATTTGTACAACCAATGCAACTCAATAAATTAAGACCCGTAAATCCAATTCATAATTATAATTATTATGTTATTATTATTTTTCTTTTTTTTTTGAAGGAAGTGAAGTAGCCTCACGGATGCAAAAAAGTTTCTCCAGAAGTCATCCAAATTTTGGTGGCGGACAAAACTATTCACATCACTAGGTTGAGGTGCTCATCCAAGATTATGATATGCGATCTACATATCACCAATATTATCCTTAAATAATTACTGTAATTTTATGTGTATTAAATATGTAATATTATTGTAATCACCCTTTGAGATCATATCAGACCCGTATGTTTTCGTGAGACTCGTAAGACCATTTTTTTTACACTTGAAACTTCACAGCAAAACACTGTGAAGGTAACCTTCACAGTATTTTTGTTGTGAAGTTCGGATTTCTTTTACTTCCACAATGTTTTGATATGAAGTTTTAAGTATAAAAATATGATCTCACGGGTCTCACGAAAACAGACTGGTGTCACGTGAATCCCAACCCTACATATACAGTTTTGTTACAAAATGGATATGACTAGCTTAACAATTTTAAAGAAGTGAAACAAAGGTCTTTGTAAGATGCTTTCTTTTAGGGTTTGAAGAAAGGCGTCTCATAAACACATCTCTACTGTTACAATATAGCCTATAACGTTTTTAAAAATTACAATATTAATTATATTATTAAAATATTCAACGTAGTCTTTATAAAATATTATTTTCCTCTTGTAAACATTAAATTTAAAAAACTTGGAAAGATAAAATACCATTTCACTCCTGAGCAAAAACCTTCTCTCTTATTTCTCTATCGTGGAGAATCTGTTGGAACAAAAATATCAGTATAAAAAAGGTTTATCAGATATAGTTTCTAAAATTTCTTTAAAACGGATATTCAAAATCTCTAAAAAGATCGAATTCAACCCTTACGCCTTATTCGTTTAGAGGATTGGTTAGAGATAGCTTGAAGTTAAAAAAATCATGAATACTAAACGCCTTAGGGGCCGTTTACTAAACACTTACTTTGGTAAGTGTTTAACACATAAATTTCCTCATTGGATAAACATGAAAAGAGCCAAAAATCTTACCGGATAAGAGCGATGAGAATGATGGAGAGTCTTACTGGGTAAGTGAGGATGACGACTCTTTCCCGTGTATATATATTTTTTATAATAAATGTTTTTAAACAGGATTGGTTTTAAAACGTCACTAAAAACGCCATAAAAATGTCAAGCAGCAACAATTTTTCTGGAAATTTATTACCAAAAATATGTGTTATAATCATTAAAATTGTATTTGACATCCTATAGAGATCATAGTAATTAAGATTTTCAGTGTTTTCTTAAGAAATTTGTAAATAAAAAAGTAGTTTGATAAGTAATATTAAACTAGAAAGGTATTCGTGCAATTCAGCGAGATATATCTTGATTTTAATGTTTTGTTTTATTCTTTATCTCAGTCGATGTTATAACATGGTCTTATGTGATTTTTGAAAAAACAATAATGTTTTTATTTTTGAATAAAATATAAATTTGAAAATATCATAAAAATTTGATAAAAATATATCGATATTAGTATCAAATTAACTATTTAAAT